GACACAAGAACTGCTGTGTCAACAGTAACGGCAGTGACAGTGACACAAGACCTGCTATGTCAACACTGACGGCAGTGACATTGACACTACAGTGACCCAAGACCTGCTGTGTCAACAGTGGACGGCAGTGACAGTGACACTTCAGTGGACAAAAACACCTGCGTGTCAAGCAGTGGACGGCAGTGACAGTGACACAAGAACTGCTGTTTCAACAGTGACGGCAGTGACAGTGACACTACAGTGACACAAGAACCGCTGTGTCACAATGACGGCAGGACAGTGACACTACAGTGCAGTGACACAAGAACTGCTGTAACAAGATCAACAGTGACGGCAGTGACCAGTACACTACAGTGTCACAAAGAACTGCTGTGTCAACAGTGACGGCAGTGATAGTGACACTACAGTGACACAAAAACTGCTGTGTCAACAGTGGTGGCAGTGACAGTGACACTACAGTGACACGAGACCTGCTGTGTCAACAGTGACGCAGTGAACATCGACAGTTTCTACAGCGACACAAACCTGCTGTGCAACAGTGACGGCAAGTGACAGTGACACTACAGTGACACAAGAACCGCTGTGTCAACAGTGAGGACAGTGACACTACAGGGACACAAGCCCTGCTGAGTCAACAGTGACGACAGTGACACTACAGCGACACAAGACCTGTTGTGTCAACAGTGACGGCAGTGACAGTGACACTACAGTAACACAAGACCTGCTGTGTCAACAGTGACGGCAGTGACAGTGACACTACAGTGACACAAGAACTGCTGTGTCAACAGTGACGGCAGTGACAGTGACACTACAGAGACACAAAACCTGCTTTGTCAACAGTGACGGCAGTGACAGTGACACTACAGTGACACAAGACCTGCTGTGTCAACAGTAACGGCAGTGACAGTGACACAAGACCTGCTATGTAAACAGTGACGGCAGTGACAGTGACACTACAGTGACCCAAGACCTGCTGTGTCAACAGTGCGGCAGTGACAGTGACACTACCGTGGACACCAAGGATGCTGTGTCAACAGTGACGGCCAGTGATCAGTGACACTACAGTGAAACAAGACCTGCTGTGTCAACAGTGACGGCAGTGACAGTGACACTACAGTGACACTACAGTGACACAAGAACTGCTGTGTCAACAGTGACGGCAGTGACAGTGACACTACAGTGACACAAGAACTGCTGTGTCAACAGTGACGGCAGTGACAGTGACACTACAGTGACACAAGAACTGCTGTGTCAACAGTAACGGCAGTGACAGTGACACTACAGTGACACAAGAACTGTTGTGTCAACAGTGACGGCAGTGACAGTGACACTACAGTGACACAAGAACTGCTGTGTCACAGTGACGCGGCAGTGACAGTGAACACAGACAGTGACACAAATTAACAGCTTCAACAGTGACGGCAAGTACAGTGACACTACGTGAACACAAGAACTGCTGTTCAACAGTAACGGCATGTGACAGTGACACTACAGTGACACAAGAACTGCTGTGTCAACAGTGTACGGCAGTGACAGTGACAGAAAGTGACACAAAACTGCTGGTGTCCAACAGTGACGGCAGTGACAGTGACAGTACAGTGAACACAAGAACTGCTGTGTCAACAGTGACGCACGACAGTGACCACACAGAGACACAAGAAACTGCTGTGTCAACAGTGACGGCAGTGACAGTGACACTACAGTGACACAAGAACTGCTGTGTCAACAGTGACGGCAGTGACAGTGACACTACAGTGACACAAGAACTGCTGTGTCAACAGTGACGGCAGTGACAGTGACCACAACAGAGACACAAGAACTGCGTGCCAACAGTGACGGCCGTGAGCAGGACAGTAAACAGTGACACAAGAACTGCTGTGTCAACATGACGGCAGTGACAGTGACAGTACAGTGACACAAGAACTGCTGTGTCAACAGTGACGGCAGTGACAGTGACACTACAGTGACACTGCTGTGTGAACAATACTTAGCATCAGACACCCCCCTACACCACCTCCTACTCCTCCACCTCCTACTCCTCCACCTCCACCTCCTACACCTCCACCTCCACCTCCTACACCTCCACTCCACCTCCACCTCCACCTCCTACACCTCCACCTCCCCTCCTACACCTCTCCCCCTCCACCTCCTCTCCTCCACTCTACCTCCTCCAGGGATTAACAGCGTCACTGGAGTAATATTAATCAACAGTTCTGGCCATAGATTAAACTGAAACCACAAAACCCGGTTTGTTGATGCTGGTGAGGGGTTTACGACCCTCTTGTGTCTTGACTTGATTAAGATAATGGCAGGAGGGGAGGAGAGGGGGGTCTAGGAGGGTGTGAGTGTAAGTTTGTAAAAACCAAACAACACAACAAAAACCAACCCATACACACAAAACAAAACACACCACAATAACACACATAAACACATACCACGTACAACAAACACATACAAAAACACACACACAACAACCATACACAACAAAAAACACATACACACTACAACATAGACCA